TGACAGTATTTTTAAATTAAAAGTTGTTCTTTTTTTTTTTTTTTTTTAGCCAATGCTATTGCACACTTAATAGACCACAGTATAAGGACTTCCCTGGTGGCGCAGTGGTTGGGAATCTGCCTGCCATTGCAGGGGACACAGGTTTGAGCCCTGGTCCGGAAGGATCCCACATGCTGCAGAGCAATTAAGCCCATGCGCCACGACTACTGAGCCTGCGCTCCAGAGCCCGCGAGCCACAGCTGCTGAGCCCACGTGCCACAAATGCTGAGGCCTGTGTGCCTGGAGCCCATGCTCCACAAGTGAAGCCACCACAAGGAGAGGCCCACGCACCACAGTGAAGAGTAGCCCCCTGCTCGCTGCAACTAGAGAAAGCCCGTGCACAGCATCAAAGATCCAACGCAGCCAAAAAGTAAATAATAAATTTATTTTTAAAAAAAGACCACAGTATAGTGTGAACATAACTTTCATACGCAATGGGAAACCAAAAGTTCGTGTGGACTCACTTAATTGCTATATTTGCTTTATTGCAGTGGTCTGGAACCAAACTCACAATCTCTAAGGTATGCCTTTATGTTTATATTCATGTGTCTCACGAAATGTGGAAAATTTCCAGCCATTATTTTTTTCTTTTTTTTGCGATACGCGGGCCTCTCACTGTTGTGGCCTCTCCCATCGTGGAGCACAGGCTCCGGACGCGCAGGCCCAGCGGCCACGGCTCACGGGCCCAGCCGCTCCGTGGCATGTGGGATCCTCCCAGACCGGGGCACGAACCCGTGTCCCCTGCATCAGCAGGCGGACTCTCAACCACTGCGCCACCAGGGAAACCCCAGCCATTATTTATTCACATATTCTGCCTCTTTCTCTTTCTTCTCCTCAGGCTGCCACGATGCATATGTTGGTCCTTTCAGTGGTGTCCCGTGGATCTCTTAGGCTCTGTTCCTTAGCCTCAATGATTTCCACTGTCCTGTCTTTAAGTTCACTGATTCTTCTGCCTGCTTAAATTGTCTTTAAAGCCTTCTAGTCAATTTTTCACTTCAGTTACTGCAGTTTTCGGCTCCATATTTTTGGTTTCTTTTTTTGGTTTTCTTTGATATTTCTATTTTGTTCACACATCATTTTCTTCACTTTCTCCACATCTTTAGTTCTTTGAGCATCTTTAACAGTTGTTTTAAAGTCTCTGGCTAATGTGTCTGCCATTAAGTCTCTTTCACAGACAGATTCTGCTGAATTCTTTCTTTCCTTCCAACAGACCTTCCTGTTTCTTTGTTTGCCTTGTGATTTTGTTGTTGCTGCTGTTTTTGCTGAACACTGGACATTTAAACCTGGTAATAGCATAACTCTGGGAATCAGGTTCTTCCCCTTCCCCAGCGTTTACTGGTTTGTTATTTATTTTTACTGTTGTAGCCTCTTTGCCAGGGATCGGCTGGAGATGCAAACTTCAGTTTTTCTCAGGTCTTTTCTGAGCCCTTCCCTGGATGTGCACAGTCACTTTTAAATTTTCTCATACATGCAATTGCTTTTGAGTGTCCTGCTCTTTAATGTCTGGCTCCTGAAAGGTGGAAGGCAAAAATGCATCAGGGAGAGGCTGCCATCCAGAGGGGGAGGTGCCGTGACAGTGGCTGCCCCCGCCTTCGTCTGCACCCTGATCAGAAGCAGCCATCAGCGATGAGGCGCAGAGCCCTGACGTTCAGAGGACAGGACCCTCTTCACCCACCCTCGCTAGTGCAAGCTGCTCCAAGAACACGTGTACGGCCCTGCCATGTGGCTGGGGGTGGGAGATAGGAACCTGCAACTGTACTACGAGCTGAAACTGACTGAAGACTAACCACAGTTGACTAAGTCTCCCCTGGAAACTGTAAGCCTTCAGGAGAGTAGAGTTCCAAAATAGTTATATCACTGGTGTTACTTTAACCATATTATTTTCTATGACTGATCCCAAGAAAATCTGAGGTATCAAACCAATAAAACCATGTAGTCAACAGTTTATAAAAATATATCTTTATTATTTCAATGTTCTTGCATGATACAGATACCTAGTCGTCTAAACATGGTCTTCCTGTTAAATATAAATTAAACACAAAAAACTATAAACAAATCAGCAAAATTACCGGAAAATCCTTCCAAACCATGAATCCTTATTAAAAATGTACACAGGGATGATGAACCAGTCTTAAACTACCATACTCTGAAACTTAGCTGCAGCCAAATGTAAACGTTTAAAGAAGCAATAGAGGGCAAAGTGATATGGAATAAAACTATGATGGGCTTCTCAACTCCACATCCAGTGAGCCAGGCCAGTCAAACGACTCCATCTGACATTTCAGCAAAGTATCCTCTTTGTGTAAAAAAGATCAGGGCTCGTCCTCAAGCTACAGGGTAATTTCAAAGCAACCACAGAAGAGCACGGCCAGAAGACTTGGTCGTCAGGTAACTTCAGAACACGAATTCCAGATGATCCAAAGAGGAGGAAAACATCCACTCCACCCCAAAAGGCATTCCCAGAGCCCTAACTTAAAACCAGATTACCAACAATGACTACAGATCAGAACATAACCTGAAAATTCACAAAACTCACATATGCACGCACGACCTGGAAAACCCTTGCTGAACTTGAGAACAGAAAGGTTCAACCTCAAGAGAGGGTATGACATTGCTGCTAAGATACCCCAGGCGGAGCTGGCCTGACACGTTTCCCTGTAAACTGAGACCAGCACCCACGAGAGCCACGAGCCGCACACCTTCCTCACGCTCTTCTCCCACAGGGGTGTGCGGATGCAGGGGACCAACTGTCACAGGTCTCCCACTGCCCCCTTCAGGGCTGGAGCAATTCAAATAGCTTGTGGGATGGTGCCAAGAACTACACCAGGCCTGCATCCCACACAGAGGGCAAAGTTCAGCCCCAGCAGTTTCCATTCCTTACTAGGAAACAGCTTCATGCCAGCAGTTTGGAAACGGGAGGACAGCCTGAGAACGCCATCAGAGACCTGCGTGTGAGCTCCGCGGCAAGGACGGACGTCGGCACGTCCCAGGAGGCCCACCCAGGCACAGTGTCCCAGGCCGGGGTCAGCTGCGAGGCTCTGAGGCCGTGGGGCTGCGGACCGTGGACAGGAGGTGCGACTTGTACGTCTTGCTCAGGCCTGTCATCCAGAACTTGAGCAGCTTGACATTGTCCTCCTCAGACGCTCCGAGGATGCTCAGGAGCTTCTGTGTGTCCTCTTTGGGCCGGCTGTCCACCTTGGTGAACTTAAAGAGGACCTTCACTTTGCTGGAGAAAACCAAAACCAAACACTCAGCTACCACAGAACCGTCAGCAGAGTTCTGGTCCTGGGGCCTAAACGGCTTCAAGACCAGCAACGGCTCGGCAGGCAGAGCGGGAACTGAGACAGGAGAAGCGGCACAGCAGAGCGGCAGCTTGCGCCTGCACCCAGGGTCTCCCGTTTCCCCACCGCTGCTGACGCTGGCGCAGCCAAACAGGGAGGTTAAAAAGACAAATGTACCTCCCATTCATAAAAGGGACAGGTGGCTCCTAAGCTCCATTGTACTATCTGAAATCAGAACAATGTTTGACCAATAAAATTTGACAGAAAATTACTAAGAAGGCGGGAGGAAATACAGTAACTTGCTTAATAAGGAGGGAACATCTGCTACCCGACCTTCCAATTCTTAAGTTAACTAAGCATCAAAAATAACTACCTCCCTTGGAGAGCACAGAGCAGCTTGAGGCTCAGGGGTGCGGGCTCACCTGCTCCAGGTCACCCAGCCAGGTCAGCGCGTGGTGGAGCCCTGCATCTCTCGTCCACACCCCCTCCCGCAGCGGCCACGGCCTCACCTCTGTCTCTGGCCACGGCTCCTGCTTCTCCTGCTGCCGGCAGCCCAGCCCTCCCCTGAAAGCACAGACTCTAGGGGCCGAGGTGGCACCCGCTTACTTCATCCACTCCTCCTTGAGGCAGACGAGGCACTGGTCCACCACGTCCACCGACAGATTCTGGTTGGTCAAAGCTGCTTCCACTTTACTCAGGATGGTGGGGCCGGCTGGGAACAAGTGGGGCATGGCGGGGGGGTCAGCACGGGGAGGGCGGGGGCAGTCTCAGGGCCCCCTCGGCCCGCTCGCTGCGGGGAGAGCAGCCCTGTTCAGCGGCGCCCACCTCGGTCTGCGGCCACAGCACTCCCACTGGTCACAACGAACTCGTGCTTGCTGAGGGATGGCTCGTCCTCACAGCCGGCCGGCTGCAGGCTGGAGCGGGCGGCTGTGTGCACTTCCACCACCACAGCAAACTCTGCGGCGACACAAGACACACTGCCCGTCAAGTGCTCTTCACCCCGGGACAAAGCCCCTCCTTTGCGGCTCCCAATCATCTCAGACCATCTGGGGAAAACTCCAGCCTCCTGAGCTGAACACTGGCACCTAAAATCTTCGGTAGCTTGTGAAGAGTTAAGGGTTCACTTTTGACTCAAACTAATAACGCACTGTATTATATTACTACAAATTACTGCGTATACCTCCACTGGTCTAATACTAAACAGCCCTGGGAGAGTGGCCCCACTACAAGCCATTTTACAGATGGGGAAACAGACTCAGAGAAGCTAAGTGACTTGCACAAGGTCACACGGCTAGTGGTAGTAACAACATCAAGCCCATCTCTGAGACAAGAGGCTGTGTTCTGAACACTGCCTCCTGGACTCATGGCCCAGCCTGGTTGCTGAGAGGGTGACAGCTCTGTGGCCAACCTTCCCACCGCTCTCACGGATGTGCCTGGAGGAGGCCTAGACGTGCCAGATGCGGGGATGTGCACCCACAAAGGGATGTGCTGACTCCCGACCCCCCCAGACCAAGAATGAGGGGTGCCGATCAGCTTCCCGGCTCTCTGTCTAGAGCAATAAGCTTGTCAGTCCTGGGGGTGGAGTGGGGCAGAGCAAGGGCCACTGAGCTGATGAGCACCGGGGACGGATTTCAGGCAGATAAACACAGGAGAACAGAGAGGAAGGAAGACCACGAGGTGGAGGGTCAGTCCAGCGCCTCCTGAGCCGCCCCAGGGCCCAGGGCTGGGACCCGCCCCACAGAGAGCCACACCCCAGTGAGCGGCCCAGCCCAACCCTCACCCATCTTCAAGACAGACACTAGAAGCCAATGCCACGGGGAGAGCTGGTCCTGCAACGTAGGTCTTCCCGCCTGAGGCCAGCAGGCATCGTCCTCAAACCCACAGCTGAGGTCCAGTCACGTGGTTTCACTTCTGAGCCCTGACGTGCAGGGGCTCAGCCCAGACCGACGCAGCACGCACCTGAGGCCAGCACGTGGGGAGGGATCTGCACGTGGGGGCCAAGCCCCAGGAAGTTGCAGCGGTAGGCCTCCTCGTACTGGCTGCTGTAAGGGATGACGCGCACACAGCCCACGGGCAGCATGGTCTGAAGGACGGAACAACCCAGAACTGAGCGCTGACCCGCCTGAGTCCCTCACCCACACCCCACGAGCCCCCTGCAGCTCGGTCCAGAGCCCTCTCATCTCGGCCCGCTCTGCAGGGTTAACTCTTCCATCATTCCCCGACTTCTCAGATGTTTGTCTCTTCCCTCACCCGCCAAAAGGATTCTAAGTTGTCTGAGAGATTGTTTCGTCTTGTGCCTTCACGGGCCCAGGCAGAGGGCTGGCACGCACACACGCTCAGAGCCGGACCTGGGCCTTGGCACCCCCTACACCTGTGGGATGGAGACAGCACGCCACACGTGCACTCCGGCCAGCCCGTCAATCAGGCTCTGTGCAGAGGACCACGTGGGGACCCAGGCCCGCCTCTGTGGCACAGGTGGCTTCTCAAAGGGATGCGGGGCTTGGGGAAGGGCGGATGGGAGAGTGGTCAGTCTGTCAGGACAGCATAGACTCCTCGCTCAAAATGAAAGCCTAAAATGACTACCTTTTTTTTTGGCCACGCTGTGCAGTCTGTGGAATCTTAGTTCCCTGACCAGGGACAGAACCTGGGCCCTCGGCAGTGAAAGCACAGACGAATACCATTTTTAACAGTGGAGAAAAACACAGATCATAGATTCAGGCATGAACCTCTGCAACGAAGTCTCTGACACATCTTAACAGATTTTTTAAAAACCCACTAGGCCAATACCGTCCTGCCACAAAACACAAAGGAAAGAAGATCCTCTCACCCGAAGAACTTCAAAGGCTGAATGGACAAGGTCTGCGTCTCTACTTTTCCAGATCACCTGGTTCCCCATGAGGACGTGCCAGGCCAGCGTGCGGAAAGATGGGGCACCCAGGACCTGAAAAACATGGTGCACTGCTTTCTGTCCAGAGGAAGTCATTTGTGTTCGTCTAGAAACTTCCTCCGTAGAGTGAAGGAAGACGGGCAGGAGAGCAGAAGTCACCTATCTTCTCGGGGAGGCTGGGCGACTTGCCCGAAACCAGGAGGAGGGACGGCCCTGTGCTCGCACCTGAAGGTCCGACCCCAGGGCTCTTGTACACTTCAACATCTTTTCCCCAATTCTATTTTTAAAGATTAGAAGCAGATAAAGTATTAGCTCTTTGCAACACGTACCCTCTCTCTCTACACCCTTAACTTTGGCCTAACCACTCGAGAGAGAGCCAGGGTTGTGAGTCTTCAGCACTGAGGGAGAGCTCGGTCTCGATGCCGGCAGCCCAGGGCTGCCCCGCTGAGTGGGTCCCCGTCTGGAGCCCCGGCCTCTAACCATGTCCTCTGGGCTGTGAGTCTCTCAATCTAGGGCTTGTGACTTCCTCATCTGTCCTGTTTTTACCCTGCTTTAATCAACTCTAATTAATGCCACGGCACTGACATTTTAGAAGAGCTCAGCCTGTTGTCTTAGGGCTTGTGAACATGGCCAGAAAAAAAAGAGGAGGCTGTGACACTGCCTTTTACCAAACGCTGCCAGCCCCCAAGGACTCCCACCTCCGGTGGAATTCAAGATCCCCTCCAACTGTAATCCACATTAGCTATAACCCACTGTAATCAACAAGGACTGTGGCCAAATCAAGGACGATTTAAATGAATGGTTTTCACCCCAAAGCCCCACAGAACACCTGCCGGTAAACCAGGCTTTACTTCATTTTCTAAAATAAAAATAACTGTTTTCTGATAGAATTCATGCTCAATGTACAAGTAAACAGAGAGAGGGTCTACGAAAGGCCAGCCTGCTTTGTGATCTAGCAGTCACTCCTGCTGTCCTCCCATGCGGCGAGCAGCCCCGCCCCCCCCCCCCCCCC